GGGATGCCCACCTCTGGGCTAGCCACAGCCTCAGTGGGGCTCTGGAGGCTCCTGTAAGCTGAGACCTGCCAGAAAGGCCGGCAGCCCTGTAATTCCGAACCTACTGTGGAATGTGAGGACGGTGCCCTGGTTCCTTGTCTGCCCAGCCCCGCAGCCCTGTCCCCAGCTTCCTCATCTCATGACCCCTTACGTCAGAGAGACAGGTTTCCCTTTCCTTCTGGCCAGCTCTTACTGTCACAAGTTCCTGAGGCCACCTGCCCTCCCCTGCAGCGGTCAGGAGCAGGACCTCTGGAATCTGTAGCCCTGGGTTGGAATCCCAGGTGTGGGCCCTGGAGTCGCCCTGGAGCAGTGGTGAACTAGGACCCACGCTGGGCTTCAAAGGGCTCACCCAGCACTTGGCCCAGGGTGAGTACTTCCTGGGCTGCTGTCGCCGTCACCCGCAAGGCAACATCCCTCACCCCAGCCCTGAGGAGGGCCCAGGTGGGGGTCGTACCATACCCACCCTGGCTGCCTCCACTTACCCTCAAAGGAGCTGCCAGGCTGGGCAACCATCTTTTGCTTGGGGCCTGAGTGACGGGGACCTGGTGTAAGAGTCTGCCTCTCTTCCTGCTGAACAGACACTCAGATTGACAGCTACGTATGGCTTTGATAAATAAGGGAAAATGGAGGAATGAATTCATTATCAATTCCGTGGAAGGCAGGTGGCAGAAGAGCTCATAGCGGCGCTGGCCAGACACAGGGCTGAGACTCCAGGGCCCCCTGCTCCCACCCAGCAGTGTCTCCCTAAGCAGGGCGCTCAGTTTCGCTGGGTGGCCCTGAGGCTATAGGAACTACTGTTGAAGTAAGGATTCGGTGTGAAAAAGCCCCGTCCTGGGAAGGAGTGCCTGGCGGCACCTGGTCTGCAGGCTGTTGATATGAGGGGATGCTTTGGGGAGACACAAGGTCTCCCCATGATGGTGACCCACAGGTGATAGTGGAGCCTCTTCTGTGTGCAAGTTCTAGAGAATCAAGCGAGGAATCAGCTCCTACCTTCAAGAGGCGTCTTACAGAGAACCCTGATGTGCAGGGGTCCTTGGGATAGAGCTGGGCCCGCAGGGCTAGAAATGGAAGGTTCTTGAATTTCCACCCCGAGGTCTGAATGCTGCCCTGCGTGCTGCCCGCATCCAGCCCCCGCCTCCCGCCTCTGTGTAGAGTGAGCCGCCAGGGACACCTGCTCCCAGAGGAGTTGATCTGTGTGTCCTGTGTGACACACGGGGAGATGGAGGCTCAAGGAGGTTGAGTCACTTGCTCGGGGTTGTACCCAGTGATGGTGGCAGGATTAGAACCAGGTGTCCCTGCAGAGAGCCCTTGGTCTGTGATGGAGGCGGGGTCTTCCCTGCAGCAGCCAAGAGCCCGACCTTCCGGCTGCCCTTGATGTACACCTTCCTGCCTGCCT